CAATAGTGGGGTGAAGGCCTGGGGGGAGGGGTACGGGGGGGAGAGGATCAATGGGGGAAAAAGGAGGACATTTGTAATACTTTCAACAATAAAAGAAATTTTAAAAAGAAAGAAAAAGGAAAACAGCCCCAATATAAGAGAACTGCAAGAGAAACAGTTTTCATAGGATGCTGAATATTCAGAGAAGTGGAAGAAATAGACCTACCCACAGAAAGTGGGACAGCATATTATACCAATTCATTAAAAGTAGAACTGGCCCGGCCGGGCGTGGCTCAGCAATTGAGCATCAACCTATGATCCAGGAGATCACAGTTCGATTCCTGGTCAGGGCACATGCCTGGGCTGGGGCTCAGTCCCCAGTGTGGTGTGTGCAGGAGGCAGCCAATCAGTGACTCATCATTGATGTTTCTATCTCTCTCTTCCTCTCCCTTTCTCTCTCTCTGAAATCAATAAAGATATATATATATATATACATATATATATGTATATATATGTATATATATAAAATATATAACTGAAATTTTACAGCAAGTGTTCTTCTGAGATGACAAAATTAAAATTTGTTTAAATTCTTGATCCCTTACTTAATGTGGTTTTTTTCTTGATTAGACTTAAAATAATTATTTTCTTCCCAACCCTTACTTTTCTCCTCTTTTTTATATAGCAGACAATATGAAACACCCCTTGAAGGCAACTTAATTAATCAAGAGATTATGCTAAAACGGCAAGAAGAAGAAATGATGCAGCTCCAAGCCAGAATGGCCCTTAGACAGTCTCGGTTGAGCCTGTATCCAGGAGACACAATAAAAGCTTCCATGCTTGACATCACTAGGGATCCTTTAAGAGAAATGGCCCTCGAAACAGCCATGACCCAAAGAAAACTGAGGGTAAGTTGATTCTCAGATTATTGCATCTAAACTTGGTCTCACATGGAAATGTTATACAAAGAACTTTCAAATATTCTATAGGTATCCTAAAATTTCCTATAGATGATATTGAAATCTCATGTTAGTTTTCATAGGTGTTAAATATCTTTTGGTTGATACTGAAATAAATATCTAGGTGTTTTTATGATTTCATTTTAAAAATAACATTAGATGGGTTTAGAGTATCTTAACTGTATATTTTAAAAATATATGTGTGATCCTTAAAGTCAACTGGCTTTATTCAGTATTGCAGGGATCATTTTTTAATAAGGAATTTATTATCCCAAAAACCATGAAGATCAGAGATAGACATTCAAGGTTGGGTCAGAAGCTCAAGAGTGTTATCGAGAATATTCCATCTTTCTACTCTGTCCTCAGAACTATGTCAGTAATTCACTTTATAGTCATGTTTGCTCCCAGCATGTATCCTCATATTACAATATCCAAACACAAAGAGTAACAAATGTGCATCTTATATCAGTGGGGGATTTTTTTTATGTGTTTAGTTTATTTTTGTTTCAGTATATGTCATCTATTTTTATAAACATAAGCTCAAAATGATCAGACTTCTTATTTCATGTAAAATATCTTAAACATTTTACAGCTTCTATAATATTATTGTTAAGGGCAGTGAAGTACTGCATTATGCAAATTTACCATGTACCATAATTTCTTTAATAAGTTTCCAGTTATTGGGCATTTAAATTTTTCTTTTTTGTTGTTGTTGTTTTTGTTGCTGTTACAAGCATTGCTCTGATGAACATCCCTATAGCTAAATCTTTGCAGATACCTTCCTCCAAGTAGATTAGCCAAGTCAAAGGCAAACAATTTTTAAGACATTTGACACATATTCTCAAATTGGTCTTCAAAAAGTTTGTACCAATTTATGCTTTTATGATCATGCCTGTTTCACCATATTCTTACCTATTCTGGATATTATTATTCTTTTCTCTTATTGTCACCAATTATAGTAGGTGAGGCAGCCTCTCATTTATTTGTATTTGCAAAATAAATACTAGTAAAAGTGATAAAATCTAGAATGATTTTTTTCTTTCTTTCTGCATTAAGAAAGTATATTACCCTCTTCTGTTTTGTTTTTTGTTGCTTGTTTCAATGAATTATCTGAAAAACATTTATATGCCCTGAAGCTGGTAGAATTCACATTTCTCTCATAGTTCTCTAAACAGAAGAAAGAGTATTGGGTGGTGAAAACTGCATTGAAACTACAAATTAGAACACTTGAATTCTGTTGCTAATATGCTATTTTATGACTTTATGTAAACTTTTAAACCTCTTTGTGCCTCAATGTGCTAACTTTTAAAATGTGGAATTGGGTTGTAATTTATAAGACACTGTCCAGTTTTAAAGTTATTAAATTCCAATAAAACATACTGAATTTGTTTTAAGCTGAAAGGAAGATGCTCAATAAGGCTTCGTCAATTTATTATTATAAACATTATCTTTGTCAAAGTTAGGCAATAGGTAGGATATCATACTAAATAGCATGGGCTTCTAGTAATTAAAGGCACACATAAAGTATAAAAGGCACACATCTTTTTTCCAAATCAGAATTAATGCAGAACTGTGGCTCATTAGAGGCTCATATAAATGGTAGTCTGTACCTTTACAATATGCCACTATTCTGTGTCATCTCATTGAAAACGTGAGCTTTCTTACAGGCAGCCAGTGTCTGGCTATTTCGAAAACACACACTTTATTAGACACCTGCTTTATCAATGACTAGAGAATTTGAACTACTGATCATTAAAGGGTCACATAGTGATGTGTTTTTTGTTGGTTTTTCCTGAAAAGAGCAGGAAGGACATATTTTAGGGGCTGAAGAAGAATACTAATATTTGGAGGAACAGTTTCACAATTGAATTAATGTTCTTTCTCAAAACATAAATTTTTAGTTAATTTTTTTTCTATATTATTTTTGGTGTAGGCACTTTTTAACTTGTTCATACCGTTAGCGTAGTTGATCTATGTTAGATTCTGTGTTTCTCATGGCAGACCATTCTCAGTTCTTCTGCTCTACTTCTGTTGTTGTTTAAAATGTGTCCTGTTGGTTCGTTGATTATTAACAAGCCCATAATGTTAAACTTTTACTTAAATGGTATCTGTCACATGTTCCACACTTGGTTAATTGGACAGAATTCCCACACCAAGCAACCAAATGAGCTGTACAGCCAAATGCAAAGAAGGAACATAAAAATAAAACTTTAGTAACTTTCTTTTGTTTAAACCTACACCCCAGCTGCCTTTGGCCTCAAGATTAACCCTGTTTTTCTTCTCTTTCCCCATTTTGACATAATCTTTCAATTTATTCTGAACCTGCTCCCACCTGGGATCTATCTTGTTTTAAGTTATCTCTTCGACCAGTTCTTCCCTCTTGGCAGAAACCTCTGGATATACAGGTCAAGGGAAAGTAGATTGAGAAGCAGTAAATGTAGTGTGTGGACTCTACTTTTTCTCACTCCTGAGTCCCCT